CCTTGAGGTCACAATGACCCCAGCAGGGAGATGAGCCCAGCCAGCCCCAGGGGTCAGGAGCTGTCACTGTGGTACGCACTGTTTACTTTTTTTAGTACTTAAGGTGTATATTGTTTATCCTGGGTAAAAAATATTGAGTAAGTCAGATGTTTTTTGTACTAAAGCTATTTACTGGGTTGCGACGGGCCATCAAGGTTTACAAATGGGTCCTGAGCCCAAGAACATTGAGAACCACAGGACTTAACATTTCAGACTCTGGAGCTTTTTATCTTTCAGATTCCTGAGGACTGAAGCAGGACTGACAAGGGTTCCACTAACGATAATCTAAATTAGGTCCTTTTCAAGAAACCTGTAGAGTTGTTTACTAGCTCTTCTTTCTTTGAGCTTGAATAGGTTGTTTCTGATCCAAGAGTTATGAAATTTCACATCTTCCCAAGAGCTGTAAAATCTGGCTAGCTACAAAGGGTGGTGGTTCAAGATCCCTGTTTGCTTGCGTGGCTGTACACGAGTAGGCTGAGACCGTGAAATCTGCTCTGTGAAGAGAAGAGACTAAAATGTGAAGATTTTTGGAAAAACAAATGCTGCTTGGCCTTGAGGAGATCATATGGACTGGATAGGATTTTGGTCTGACATAGCCATTCATGCCACAATGCTGGTCTCCAGGTCCATAGGAATTAATTATGAAACCCCCTTTCAATGCCTGGAGGCAGCATTTGAGGATGAGCAGGAGGTGATGTTGGACAGCTCTCGATGCCTCACTTGTTGTGGGGATTCAACTCTTCTTTGTTACCTTTCTGGGTTAAGCCTGCCCTTTTATAGTGGGAAGAACATTGAATACTGTTAGTTCTCCATAGAGCCGTGTGTGTGGTACTCTGCATCCACAGGGGCCAGAATCTAAGAGCTCTGACAGATAGTTGTGAGCTGAGAGGAATGGGAGGATATGATCCATGGTCCTGCTTCAATTCCACCTCCACATAGGTTTCTTGGGCCCTACTGTCCTTGTGGGAAGATGCAAGACTGAATGCCGAGAAGAATAGTAAAGAAGTGGGCAGAGTGATTGTCCCTTTGAAGCTGAAGCATCTTGACTATGAATTCCACCCTCATTCGATTTGGAAGTGGACTGAGGGTGTGATTGTGCAGGGCTAGGGAGACCGTAGCCATCCTTAGAAGGGAGTGCTTCAGCATAATTGCTGTTTTTGCCTGGCAGCACTTAGCAGCTTCTGGAGGGTGGGGATGGAGGCTGCCTGAGCAGTAGCATGCTTTGGGGTGAACACTTGTCACATGCACATAGTGCTTGAGTTGCTTTTTAAAGAGCTCCCCTTTTGATCAGTGCCTCCCTTTTTGAGAGGGGAGGAAAGCCGTAAGCTTTGTACAGTTGGATAGCTTAGTTATTTATTGATGTGCATGCTGTGCTGCTGGGTTTGAGACTCCATTGGGCTAGAAGGTTTTAGGAATCATGTATCCTTGGAAACTGATCCCAAGAAGCTAAACTTGCTGCATTTGAATACCTCCTGAGATCCTTTGTGGATGAATCAGTCATTCTGTCCCAAGTGGCCTGGGTGATTAAGTCTTGCTGCCAGTGGGGAGAGTATGAGGATAGTAGGGAGGAATTAATCTGCTAACTCCTACTGTAACATGAGGGGATTGTGCTGGGTGTTTTAAAGCTATGGCTTCTGGCATTCAGCTGCTCCATGCTAGAGAAACTCACCATTGCTCTGGTGGCTGATGAAAATCAAAACTGCTCAGAGGGTTGGAGGCATGGAAACATTCTTGGGATGCTTGGCTGCCCTGCAGCTCCCATTTTCCTTTTCCTCCCCACTTGCTTTGCTACTGTCTGTAGCTGCCCATTCCTCTTTTGATCAGTGTGCTCCCAGGTGGAGAGCAGCGTGAGGAAAAGCTTCTTCCTGCCTTGTCCCTCCTCTCTTTTTTATTCTGTTTAAATTGTGTTGTCCCATAACTTGGACTTCCAGTTCCCTTTTTCCTCTTCTCGACTACTGCTTCTGTTTGCAGTCCCTGAGTAATATTGTGCGGGGTAAAATGGCAGTTCCAAAACCTTTTCCTCAGGTGCCGATGTCTGGCAGGCAGGCGGTCCGTTGAGATCACAACAGAAAGTGCTGCCGAATAGAAGGCAATTTATATCTCCTTGTAGTGTTTAAAAAAAAAAAAGCCTATTTTAGCAAGCTGGGCTTGAAGCGTCTCCTAGTGTGCGCAGAGTTAATCTTCATCACCGAGGCATTGATTGACAATCTGGAGGATGTTAATGTGTGATTCTCCCTGTGAGCGGGGGAGGAGAGTGGAAATTGCAGTTTCTTTGCTAATTGTACTTTAGATGTCATTTGTGACAATTTCATGTTGTCTAGACAGAGATTGTGGAGCAATTGCTTCAACAGAGCCTAGTGTTAGCCTGCTATGGATCTGGGCAGCACTGGGGTGGGGGGGAAGGGAGCTCATTGCTCCAGAAGGGACACTTGAATCAAGCATTGCCAAGTGAAGGGTTTCAAGAGGAGGTGCAACCCGAATTTTTTGTGAAAACATCATAGACTGTTTATTTAGTGGCTAGTACTTGTTGCAGCTGCTGTTCCTTCAGGGATCATCTTTTTCTACCTATAACAGAATTACTAGTAATGCTGTTAGCACTGACAGTACTTCAGACTGCTTTAGCCCCTCTGTTAATAATGAAAATTAAACCCAGTCTTTGCCTCCTAGACTAGGTCTTTCTAGAAGCAGCTGTTTCTGACCAAAGATCATTGATTTCTGCTTTCAGGTTCCCAGCGTTGGGCATATTCTAATGGGGGAGGGGGTGAGTGATCCATTAGCCCATTATATGGATTTAAGAACTGGAGTTTGAAGTCTAAAGACTATGAAAGTGTATCATTTTAAAAGCAGGCACCACAGTCTCCTTGGGGATTGTAGGTAACAATATTAGTGTTGTAGACCATGGAGGCATTATTGATGATGATTAACAGTACCTCATTTATTGAACCCATTTATCGGGCTATGAAAATGAACACTGAGCTGCAAGTTGGTCCTCAGGGCTTTATCTTGGAACAAATTTATTTTAACTAATAAAACAAATCACTTTGACATTAGTGGTTTTAGGTGCAGGTCATCTCTGCCATCCTCAGGAACAGAAGTAGAAATTGCCCCTCTGGATCCCACATGATCACATTTTGTTGTCTTTGTTTTGTTCCTAACTTCTTATTAACATTGATGTCTGATGTCCAGAGCACACTTGTAACTTTGTCCTCTCAGAGTATCAAGAGTGATAAGGTAACCAAAAACCGGCACTGAAGCTTAAAATCAACTACTGCTCGTGAACTTTTATACATGGCATTTGGATGGGGCCTTAGAGTGCATGTAGGGAAGGCAGGTGGGTATGAGACATGGTGATGAACAGGGTGGTTTTGCTATCCCTAAATTCAGAAGGCTTTACCCTTTGGAGGAACATGCTGGTACCTGATGACTGTTCTTTGAATTAATACATGCAGGTAATCTCCAAGAGACTACCGCAGAGTCTCTGAGAATGCTCAGTGGAGTGCATGTGACATTCCTTTCCAGGTTGGGGAGAGAGCCCAGGGGCTATGGGGTTTTTGGGTGGAGGTGGGAATGCTGCAGTGCTCAGGGTGATGACGTCATGCAGCAGTGGCAGGAATTGTGGCTTCTTTGGAAACTGAGGCCTTGGCTACACTGGCGCTGTACAGTGCTGCAACTTGCTGCGCTCAGGGGTGTGAAAACGCACCCCCGCGAGTGCAGCGCTGTAAAGCGCCAGTGTAATCAGCGCCTGCAAGCTGTTCCCCTCGGAGAGTTGGAGTACTTGCAGCGCTGCGAGAGCTCTCTACTCTCTATTCTCGGCGCAACTACACTCGTGCCGCCAAGTGTAGCCAAGGCCTGAGTTATGTGCTCTTCAGGAGAAATAACAGAGCTTGAATCTCTGGAAAAGTAACCCAATGTAAAAGTAACTCAGTGCCTAGGTAACTCAGCATTCGTTGTCAGTCTTGAAACCTCTAATTCTCTTGGATTCCTCTGATAATTTAAAGCAGAGACGTCAATTTTCAAACCATAATAGAGGTTTGGTTTGAGAACACAATTATCTTGAAGAGCCTAAGTGTTTAGCTTAATCACTATCAAGCCTAGGCAGACAGCAAGGCAACAGGAAATCTGCCTTGCTGTGCAAGTTCAGTGAAGTTTACACTGCAGCATTTTTCTCTGTCTTTTCTGTGGTTGACAGAACATAGAGCCACTGGTACTCTCTAATACTAGTTAGTCCAGGATGGTTAATGGACAGTTTCCAGCCAATAAGCTATTCCCTGGTCTGACACATCCATGCTATGACCAAGCAGTGCTACATTTGGGAGGGTCATTGTCTCAGCTTTTCCATCATGGTTGATGGGAGGCTGCTGGTTTTAGGGAGCTCTGTGTAAGCAAGGTGTTTTGGGGTGTGTGTGTGTGTGTGTGTTGTTTTTGTTTTGTTTAGAACACCAAAATACCCATAAACACATACTAGTGAGGGCTTTTGGTCTCCCGTGGCCTGACTTCCGAGGAAGGGAATCAGTGAGGGGCAGTAAACAAACACAGTTTGTCCATGTCAAGAGCATCTTCCAGCCCTGTATGAGCCCCTTAGCGTAGGGTGGCAGAAATTCCTGACAGACTGCTAAAGCAGCATCAGTGATTACAGGCCTGGCTACTTTGGACTGCTTGCCCCAAGGGAAAAACAGCCATCTGCAGCTTTCTCTTGAGACATCCAAATTGACTCACTCCTGCATGGGAGTTCTTCCATTAATAATAATGGGACTCTTGTATGCTTTGAAGTTTTATATGGCAAAAATTTATGCCAGCTATCACTGGCCCTGTTTCTGTAGTCCCATGCAGGTCTATAGCAATGAATCAGTAATGCAAATAATCTCAGGAGATAAATAAGGAAGCAGGAGACATGGAGCTGCTGCTGTATGGCCTTTCAGCTGGTCACTTACTGACATTAACGTTTTTGTTTTTATTTCTAGGAGGCTGCTGGAATCTTCCCTCATTTCACTGTCACGCTATGATGGAGCAGGGTCCCGGGAGCACCCAATCTACCCAGATCCAGCCAGGTAAGGACTAAGTACAATCCAGATTCAATCCTGTTTCTCTGCCAGAGGCACTACTGCTGTGGCAGCAACATATACTGAGCCCCTTGGGAATAGTGTTGATATCTGATCCATCTCACCCTTTATGGCGCATCACTATGGAGATGACCGTAGTGTTGGGTTTGGAGAGTCCCATGCCCTTTGATGTTTTGACGAGCCCCTTCCACACTACCTTTCATTTAAATCAAAAGGCCTTGGGCAATTAGAGAGAGACAGAAGAGAGGTAATGAGGTACAAAGAGCCTGTTACTGTGTGAGGGTCTTGGTCGAGGTTGTATTTAGCCCCATTTGGGGAAGGGAACTCTTCCTCTTCCTTCTCTCTGCCTACATCTGTGTGTCAGATGAGCCGAGTGGAGGGAAAGACTCCATACAACTGAACGCAGATCTGAGGTTCTTAAAGAACCTGGAGGATAACCTTATGATCCAGAAAGTAGATAATTCAAACCAGAAGAGAAGTCACCCTGGATATGCTGCTTGACTAATAGGAAGGGACCAAGTGAGGATGTGAAAATAATAGGGTAGGTTGGAGCCAATGATAGCTACCTATTTGGATATAACATAGTAAGGCGAGGGGATGTAGAGAGTGCAGAGGATGATGCTACTGGATTTTAGGAAAGCAAATATTTGGGAAATTAAGAAACTAAGAAATTAAGTAAAGGTGATGGAAATATTGTAATGCATGAATGTAGGAGAAGGCTAGAGAATCCCTAGATGCCATACACTACAATGGCTCTAAAAACAAAAATACAGACAAGGAGACCGGAGTGACTTTGAGGACATGGCTCAAAGATCTGAGTGTGAAGAAACTTAACAAAATGTGGAAATAAAAGACAATATGTGGTCAAGTCTTGGAGGTAAATAATAAAGAAAGGATGAGTTAACGCTGCTGAAGGGGGTAAGAGTCTTAAGGGACCTTACAAACATACTGGGGAGAAAATACTACAGAGGAAGCAGGCTCATCAATAAATGAGTGATAAAATCAATGATAAGTCTGTCTCTCCACAAGAAGTGGGCTGGGGTGGGGGTGGGGGGCGGGGAAGAGAAAAGGCCTAGTCTGAGAGCCTTGTAAATGTAACTGTTGATGGAAGCAGGTGAGAGAATACTTGGAAAAATTTAACCTATCCACATCTGTGAGTCTGAATGGCATGACCTACGACGTTGAGTGTGTTGGCTAACAAAAAGCAAACCAGTGAAAATTATTTCTGAAAAGTTCCGAAACACTGACATTAGAGAGAGAAAAACACATGCAGTGCTGTTTAGCCCACAGAGATGTTGATAGTTGAGAATGTTTTGGAGAATTAAAAAAAAAATCAAATGTGGCAGAATTATCAAAACCAGAAAGGAGTAATTTCTGCCCATACTGCTTAGCATATCAAGAAAGCAACAGATGGGGTAGTGTGACCCACAGAGAGAATCTGTCAGAAGAGGGTAATGGAACCATGAGCAATAAGCAGCATTGGAGGTTTATAAAGACTAAATCGTGACAAATGTGATCTGTTTTGGAAGGAATTAGCAAAGCTAATGACTGAGAATTCGGCAGCTATATCATCTGGTATAGCTACTCATGAAACCTTTGATACTGTCATGTGAACTGAAGTTGGGTTAAAGGGACCCTATGCAAAGGGAAATAGTCAGTGGGAATGTACTAGGGTGACCAGATGTCCCGTTTTTATAGGGACAGTCCCATTTTGGGTGATTTTTTTTCTTATATAGGCGCCTATTACCTCCCACCCCTGTCCCGTTTTTCACAGTTGCTATCTGGTCACCCTAGAATGTACTGACGTTAAGTGTACAGTGATTTGCTTCAGGAGCTGGGTTTAATGTTACCATTTTAATGATCTGAAAGAGAGATTAAATCTGTATGTTGTTACATGATGCTAACTTGGGAGGTTTGTCAGTAAAGAGAGTAACATAAGCTAAATTGAAAAAAGGCAATGTCCACGCAAGGACTTATACTGATATAATACCTGTACAATTACAGCAATAAATCTCCCTGGGTAGACAAGGTTAATAATATGGGTATGGACTTAAAATACACATCTTAGTCCCCAAAAATATAAGCATATTAATCCATTTCTGGGAAGCTAATTTGAAATCCCAGCATTCAATAGGAGGGAAATGCTGTGGAAAGACTTGAGGGTAAAAAAGGCAATAAATGATTATAAGCCTACAATTCAACATGGTGTCAAAAATGTGATGGAGTCCGCTGCCACAAAACCTTCATGAACTGAGAGCTTTCATTCTGGAGTGTGGGCTGGGGGCTAGTGTTTCTCTGAGGCTTTGAAGGACCCACAGAGAATGCTGCCATCACTCTTGGGTGTTTGAAAACCAGAAAGATGCTGACAAATGTATCAAATGTGTATTAGAGGACTAATGAAAGTGGCTAAAGGGGGGCTGGAGGGATTTATTTACAAGGAAAGATTAAAATTAAATGTTAGGAATACATGGGGCAACAGAAAACTTAATCTGAATATGTGGGAATTTTCTAACAGTGAGCGCTATTAGGTGTAATGTGGAAGATACCCCATTGACTGGAACACCTAAATCCAGAGTGGCTCTGGCTCTCTGGGAGATGAGTCTTAAGCTATGTTTACACTATGCAGCTTTTAGCGACACAGCTGTGCTGCTACAGCCAGGCCGCTAAAAGGTGCGCAGTGTAGCCGCTGTTTGTCGGCAGGAGAGAGTTCTCCCGCTGACCAAAAACTTCAACCCCCAGTGAGCAGCAGCAGCTTAGTCGGCAGGAGAACGCTTCTGCCGACAAAGCACTGTTCACACAGGTGCTTGTCGTCAGTAAAACTTTTGTCGTTCAGGGGTGTGTGTGTGTGTTTCACGCCTTTGAACGACAAAAGTTTTACCGATGAAAGTCCAGTGTAGGCAAAGCCTAACTGATCTCTTCCATGTTGAATTTCTGTGACATGTGACAGAAGGTACAGCTGCTCCAGGTATCCGTTACACTGGAGAACAAAATCAAGTGCAGTTTTCATCTTGGAAACAATTTTTAAAACAAATTCTTGCTCTCACCACATGGAACTTTGCGGGCTGTAAATAGTTGTGGAAGTTTTAAGTGAGAGAATTGGGATTATAAGGATCTACTGGAGGAAAAGGTCAGTGTTGTGAGATTAATCTGTGTTTAATAGCAGATCCTTCTCTCCTGCAGAGGGTTAGGTGCATGGATCCATCAACTGGAGCTGAAAGTTTGAGTGGGGTAAGGGTATGATCATTGCATAGCTTCCCTCAGGTTTATTGATTATGCTGGACCAAAGGGCATCCTTTGAGACAATGGGATCTTTCCAATTTCCCCTAGAGACCTTCCTAGAAATGTAGGGGAAGCTGTTATTTCCATTGATTGCAGTTGAGTGTGCTGCAGAATCTTCTGATGTTGCAACAATAGGTCTGCGCCTACCAGATGCCTCCTACAAAACACAGTGGAAAAGTTACTTGAAGCAGAGATGGAATTAAATAACTCTTTTAAAAAAGACCAAGCTGTGTCTTGTCTCTAGGGAAGCTTTAAAAACTTCAGCCACACTTTAAAGAATTTCAAGGTGATTCTGTTTGATCTAGATTTTTTAGGTTGCACCAACCACTTGTTGTATGAGGAGTGGTGCTTGGTTTGAATGAATAGTGTAGGATATGGAATGAGGCAAGGAAAACTTGGATCACTTTGAAGCTATGTTTCAAAATTCACAGGCATCTTATGATGGAGTTGAAAAGGCCTGTCCTCTGTTTAGATGGTCTTATTGGTTGGACTTCTTCAAGGTCAGCTTGGCTGTTAAGTCCTTTCCCTGGACTTCCAGATTTACTAAGACGACAAGAAAGGAAAGCAGCAAGGGAATTGCTGCCCTAGGACAGGTGCTCTTTGATGGCAGTTATGCTAGTACAGCTTGAAATGAGGATGTTCATATTAATATCCCAGCTAGACAGTTTTACCTGGACTCTGTCTCTCCAAGCAGCTACATGTCAGACTGTGTGTAGTAAAAAAGACTCCCAAGAAAATCAAAGTTGCTGGAGCAGTTACTATGGGTAGGACTGTGGCGTTGTCTATTCAGCAGGTCTGAATGTTGACCCTGATGAGTTGAGTTGCTTACATGCAATATGTTGTCCTCTGCTCAGGTAGCATGGAAGACACAGGAGCAGCAGTTCGTGCCTGGTACCTAGCTTTGCCTCAGATCAAATGGGTGGGCATGTATCTGTAGCACAATCTGCAAGATAACGGGCAATATGTGAGATCACTAGAATGAGTAGTCTGGTTGCTCACTTGCAGTTATTCTTTATTGCCAAAACTGAAGAGGCCTCCTGGTTTTCTTGTCTTTCATTCATCTTTCGCTCTGTTCCCTCAAGCAGGGAATAGGCATAAAACGAGGGTTAACCCCTGAAGGGGAGATATTTCATTATGTGGAACAGCTGCTGCTGGCGAGGTGTGTTCCTACTTTCCTATTGTAGACTGGTATCCCAATCTGCCATCTTGCCATAAGGCTGACTTTGGGAACAGCCATGAAGTGTCTGTGGGTATCCATGTGTTGGAAGCCATACTACAGAATCTTGATAACAGACAGCAGAGATTTTTGGACCTGCTCGGCTGATCTAATGGTACTTACAGGCTTGACAACAGAGTAGAAACAGGAAATCAGTTACTTAATTAAAATATACATGTTGACTGCTGAGTCTTGTGTACTAATGGAAGCAAGTCCATCAGCTTTAAACAGCTCTGCTGTCAGCAACAGGGAGGGGGAAGTTACTCTGCTTCTGGCCAGCTTGGGGCTGGGGACATGAAAATGCAAGTGTAATTCTCCCGTGGTCAGAAGGAATGCCTAGTGTTACTTTAGCGATCCTTCAGGTATTTTCAGGAACAGAGACCAGAGCTCCTTCAGCTGGTGGAGAGTCTTCCCAGGAAACAAGGGGAGGGAGGGATGCTTTAGGCTTGGAGAATCCTAATTCTGAAAAGAAGTGGTCTTCCCTAAGATCTTG